CTTGAAACCAGTCCAAATACATGTCGTCAGGACTGTCGTCCATCACCTCATACAGAACTACCGAGCAGCAGTCCATAAAAAAACAACAGAAACACAGTCAGCCCAGTGTGTCTATGTGTATGCGTGTCTGTGTGCATGTTTAAAAGCATGTACATTTTCTTCTTCTCGTTCATGGAAATTGCTATGTGGCCTATCCTGAATGCGTACATACATAAACATGATGAACTAGTAATGCGCATTAGCCCTTACTTGTTGCATCATCTCACATCTGACAAGGATTACTCAACATGTCATTGTCAATGCTGCATGAATGGCTGATGAAAATTTACATTTGCAATTATAGTATTTCTTTTTTCTGTCTCCTAATGTGTCCTAGTACCCCCCCCCCCCCACCCCATGTATCCCATTATGTTTAGGAAGATCTGCTTTTATAGGCATCGTGTGACTTCTCACCCTCTGGTGGCAGTCTGCGTGAATGCGCGGAGGTGGCAGTGAGGCGGAAGCCGGCAGGCAGAGTCTCTGCCGAACCAGGCATCATGCTGATTCCATGGACGTCCCGTGGAGGAAACTGCCTTCTCCACGATGGCCCTCTGAAGTCCTTTTCATCACACTACGCAAACACAGATTTGGAAGACGTTAATTATGGGCCACTATTCATGTATCTAATTCAGTGTTTCGCCTGTGCGACTGCTGTTACGTCTACACTGCCCCACTGCAATACATGCTGCATGCTTTCAATACATACCCGCAAAAATCTTAAAGGTGGGGACTATTTCGCTCATTACACTTGGGAAAGTAAATACACTTTTTCATACACACTCTTTTTTTTCATGCTCAAGTGGGATACCCAAATCCTTTGTGCATTACAGCTAAACTTTGCCTTCCAGAAGCATAACTTACCAACATTTTTGGGAAAAAAGTCACTAAGGGTGCTTTCACACCAGTCAATCGATTCGCTTGTTTTGAAACAGGCATTCAAATTGTTACATTGTTGCTCTTTGCTCTTGGCGCGGTTTGCTTTCAAGTTTATAAACGGACCAAAACAGCTAAAACAAGTCACGTGTGAGTAAACTCCATACATTGCTCAGAGTTTCACGGTTTATTTTGCTGAATCCCACTCAGTTGTCAGGGGGGTGGTGCTTTGCTGGTGTTTGACAAGGTGCACGCGACGTGTCTCAAGAGCGAGGAGTGATGCGGTGGGGAGTAGCCAGAAGAGTGCGTGACATATTTGAGGACCGGGAGGGAGACCCGCGGCTTCCGGGAGATTTTCACTTGTTTGCGGGCATCCAGGAGTCATTGTGCATTTGCCAGAGACTCCTGAAACTTACTTGGGATGTCTGGAATGACCTCCCGTCCTACTCCTAATTATCTCTTCAAATAGCTGTAAGCCCATTACATATCAACAGAACAGTGTGATATAACCGGCCTTGGATCGTATCACTTTCTCACTACAATTGATCCGCTCCAGGGTTCGTTTCAATCAAGCCAAGACCACCTCATTCAAGCCAACTCGGAGCTATTGATTTACCACAGATCCGAGCGCGGGCAAACGAGACAGGTTCCGAACCAAAAGTCTAGGTGTAAAAGCACCCTAAATGTCTGGCGTAGGGTCACTATAAACATATTTTACATATATAAATATACAAAGTTCTATATAAAAGACAAAAAACTACAGCTTGACCTCATCTAATCGTCTCTCTGTTCCCAGTGCCAGCAGATTGTTGTATTCCCTCTCTAGAATTTGTCTAGCCTGTGGAGAGAAAAACAAATACATACATTAATCTATCAGAATAAACACAAAGTCACTGCAACATTTATGTTTGTGTGTACACCATTGCAGCAAGCACAAAGTGAGTACAGAGAGGAAAGTGTAGCTGATTTCCCTATTCACATCTCTTTTATAGGGCTATGACATAACTCTAGGTTTTAGGCTCCGTGTTATCTTGGGTTGCTGTTTATATGTAATGGGAAAGGGGAAAGTGTATGAACAGCTGTAGTGTTGTAAGTGTGGATGGAGACCTGAGTGTTTTGGTTGGGGATCTGCAGCAGCAGGGCCAAGCTGCTGTAGTCAAAGTTGTCGTCGAGTGCGATGAGCGCCCCGTGAACGCCGCTCTCTAACAGGATGTTGGCGTAGTCTCGGAGGCCGATGCTCTGGACCCAGCGAATCACACGCTCGTTACTCCACACCAGAACGTCTACGTTAACACAAACGCAAAATTCATATCGTGCATTTCTCAATGACGCTTTCTGTTTCCGACTGGCCCCGCCTACCTCTTATATCATGCTGGCTGCTTTCTCTGCGTCTCTCAAGCTCCTTCCGGTCATAGTTCAGCTTCTTCAGACACATTATGCCGTACTGCAGACTGGTTCTGTAACACATTTCACTTACTTGCCACTTACACATTTCAATACATCCATCCATATTACAATCAAAGCTAGTTAAAGCAGTAAAACTTTCTCTAATTCATTTACTCAGTGATATAAAAATGACTGGCTCACCTGTGGAAGCTGTCCACCATTTTTAAATGCACTCTGAGGTCTTTCTTGGTCAGGTGGTCCAGCATGCGGGCGTCCACCAAACACTCCATGAAGTAGCTGCGGTACTGAGGTAGGCCTAGACTGGGCAGCCACTCGTTCCCGATCCACTCGTGGTTCATGTCCCCGTAAGCCAGTGTCTAAGTCACACACAAAATCATTTACATTTATCAAGCGTGGCATTCTGAATAAAGGAGCCATTTTGTGAAGACAACGACAACCTGCGTATTGTTGGAACAAATTATACTGGATGTGACAGGGTTAGTAGTCACCCTATTTCTTTGTTATTATATAAAACTGCCCACTGGAGATCAAAATTAGAACAAAATACTGTTTAGATGTCATAGCATAGTTTTCTTTTAAGTTCCATCATGAGTAAAAGCACTTTAACAATGTTTCATGTTACACTTTTTCTGAAGGACAGCATGAGTAACTTCAATAAACAAGGACTATGATCAAACTAGCAGCTTCACTTTACAGGATTCACTGACATTGTCAGTTGCTCTAAATTGACTGAAACCACAGGTTTTTCCTGATGAAGCCCAAAGCCAAGACTTTTTCAGTGTAAAGTTGCTTGATCCAAAACTTTACACAACTTGCTGTGGCTCATTTTTCACCCATGTAAGACAACTGCATTGGAACTACTACAATGCAGATCAATGACATAAAGCCTATTTTAATCAAATAGCTGTATTACAAATGTTCTATCATATGTTGTAAAATCTGTCTATAACCATTAAGATTTTCTGTTATAATTTCAAAACCAAAGGCCTCCTTGAATAGCCTAGTGGAATGCCCCTTCCATACAGCACATGCAAATATTCCAATCCAATCACAAATATAGCTTATTAACTACATAATTTATGAACTTCTTTTTTATTTGTGAATTGATTATATTTATTTGTACATTAGAAAGATAAAGGTTCCACTTAAAATATTACATTTTTAAATACTTATAAAAAATGTATAGACAAATAAATAGACATAAAAAATATATATATTGATATAGAATTATTAGCCCCCCTTAATTATTAGCCCCTCTGTTTACCCCCCCCCCCCCCCCCACCCCACTAATTTCTGTTTAACGGAGAGAAGATTTTTTTTCTACACATTTCTGAACATAATAGTTTTAATAACTCATCTCTTATAATTGATTTATTTTATCTTTGCCATGATGACAGCAAATAATATATGAATAGATATTTTTTAAGACACTTCTATAGAGCTTAAAGTGACATTTAAAGGTTTAACAGGGTAATTAGGTTAACTAAGCAGGTTAGGGTAATTAGGCATGTTATTTTATAACAATGCTTTGTTCTGTGGACTATCAAAAAAATACATGGCTTAAAGGGGCTAATCATTTTGTCCTTAAAATGGTGTTTAAAACATTCCAAACTGCATTTATTCTAGTTGAAATAAAAGAAATAAGACTATCCAGAAGAAAAAAATATTTTCAGACGTAATCTGTTACACATAATTTGGGAAATATTTAAAAAATAAATAAAAATTGCAATTTGCATTATTATATATATATATATATATATATATATATATATATATATATATATATATAGAGAGAGAGAGAGAGAGAGAGAGAGAGAGAGAGAGAGAGAGAGAGACAGAGAGAGAGAGTTTTAAGTTTCAATGCTAGTGCCCTATACCTGCAATTGCTTAAGTCTCCCAATTCACTAAGTCCACCCCTGAGCACAAAGAATCTGAGACTAGATTAACCATTGTTGAGTAGCATGTTGTGGCAATAGAAAACTATAAACTTTAAAGCAATTTTCATTTTACTGGTCTGATGGGAACCATTATGTTCATCTTCAAATTGGTAGGACTGAAATGTGTAAACAACTAAGTGAAAGGTGCAGGAAGAGTGTCATGGTTTGGTGGTGTTTTCTAGAGCAAGTGTTGGGGCACCAACCATATACTTGACATATTGGATGTAAATGTTAATCGAAACTCATTCTGCAGAGTGTGGTTCCTTTACTACATTTATCACTCCATTAGCCTGCTATTTTTATTCAGGACAATGAGCAAGCAGTCAAACACGCAAAGCAGAGTCCTAATCTAAACCTGGAAATACTTGGTGACAATGATAACCTTGGCTAAGAAACTGGAAGAAACTGAAGATGAGATGATCAAGAAACTTGTAAGAAACTACTGATGAATTCTGAGAGACAAGTCATGTCCTATGGTAGTCTGGCTATGTCCTGTAAGAGACTGCTGATAATCTGACAGAAACTGGTCATGTCCTGTCAGTGTTCAGATGTGCTTAAGGGATTTAAAGCAAGGGTCTCTACACTTCCTACTAATTGTTCACTGCTCTTACTTTCAGACATTAAAGTTTTAAAATGTACAGTCACTGCTTTTGTTTAATCTTGATCAACATTAGAGGTTGGGTTGATTTGTAAAACACTGCTATACTGGCATGGCATAGCCGTAACTGCAATTCACAAGTCGTTCTTTCATTTCCACTGTATGACAGTTATACCAGGCCCATAGCCAGCCTGGTGAAAGGGGTGCTTCTCTTTTTTGCAGTCATATGCCTCATTTTCTATTTAATTATGCCATATGCTGCATTTTAGTGACATTTTAGGCACAATTTTTTAGCTGAATTAGCTTCTCGGATGGTCATCGTAATCACATGTTTTGACGTACAAAAAACATTTTCTAAACATTTAAAATAAAGAAATATGAAAACAATACTTACTTTTAAAATACAAGTATATTACATCATATGTCAATATAAAACATAGAAATCTGTTATAATTTTAAAATAAACACTGTAGCTGATTGTCATTTATTATGCAAATAACAAACTGGCCAGCACATTCAACTTTCCTCTGTCACAATTTGGGACATTGTCACTTCAAAATGCAAAGACACACCAAAGCAACAGCCAGCACAGGATTCTGCTTGGTCTTAAAGCTTTTTTCCATGGATGATTGTCATAGGTATCTTTTTTACTATTTATGATGACATAGCAGTCAAAATAAGACAAATGAGCTCATGTTTAATGGGACAAATTCTGGACCTTTGTCAGTGAGGGCACTTTCCAACCACCCGAACCCCCCCCCTGGCTACAGGCTTGTATACTTATAAAAGCCTGTGTTCAAGTTCTACACATTTGGACTTTAGACGACCAGTGTAAATGCATTGAATACATATTTACATACCTGTGACCAACTTCCCTCCTCTGAATCAGACTTCTACAGAGAAACAAGAAAGTTACTGTCTCATCAATACTTCTTTAAATGTTGCACTCTGTACAGGTACATCTCTTAATGTCTCACAGTACATGCAGACGTTGTAATATATGTTGCGTAACTCGATACATGCTAATGCAGTTGTTGCAAATAGCAAGTTTACCATAGTTAAATGCAAAACAACATATATCAACTAGTACGCATTCACTCCATCACAGTATGCCTGATCTAATCGTCTCTATGCATGCAAACACAATGTATTACGTGCAAACTACATCACGTACACAATGTGCATTTCTCCTCCACACATTGGCGTTCTCAGTCACTGTTATGCTGATCAGGGTGAACCGTGATGATTGTATGAGGCAGTGATGAGGCTCAATGGGGAATAACAAGGCTAGATTTATTCTCTGTTCGCTGATTACATTTGAACATGAGAGCGTAACGTCCGTTCGGCATCGCTTCTGTCGAAGCTGTTCAATAGGAAATTAGGCCCTCCATCACTGCTGGTTCACCCATCTAAACATCATTAGTGTTGGATGTAATAGCGAGCTGATTATGGAAGCGCAAATGTATTCAGACATGAACTGATCAAATCTTCCTCTGTCCAGTTAAGAGACCCAGAGCTTAGAGTTCACACTAAATCCACTATTCATTTTACTTACTCAATTTGGACGTGTTTTCAATTTTGAGGACATTATAGCAACTGCATCTGAATGTCACATTTGAGAGCACCTTTTTTTTTTTTTTTTTTTTTGATATTATTAATGCAATTATTGCAGTATCCTTCAAAAACAACTTTTTCAGAGGAGCATCTTGCACATAAACACAAGGTTTGAGTCCTGATTTCAGTTCATGTCAACTTTTTCACTCAATCCTCACTCTTTGGTACACACAAAGACACACACATACACAAGTTGGCAAAAGTGTTAGTAAGAGTAAGTAAAGGGATTATGAGTGGGCCTATACACAAAAAACAGACTTTTGTTACAGAGTTGAAAAGGATGACTGACCGTTTTTGAGGGGGCGGCCATGGTCTCCATTTCCTCGTGGGTTACCCACACATTACCCGACGGCTATGTGGGCGCCCCAGAGATCAATCCCACAGGAAGGGCAAGCAGTGTTAAAGAAGAAGAGCAGCGGCACTGTAAGCCAATAGTGTTACAGCATCACAGTCAGATCATTAGCAAGAGCCGTCCACAGAGTCAAAGGCCGGACACGCACACAGAGCACAAGCGCATCAAACGCACATCAGGACAGGGACCACTGCTGAAGACGACACAACTGCAACTGTTTAACATGCAAAATGGCCTAATGCTTCAAGCTGTGTACAGACAGTGCAATTCTGTTGGATTTTTTTTTTCATTTGTGGTTTGGCAACTCATAATCAAGTCTTGACATTGGTCTCAAGCTGCCGGTCGACTGAAAAAAAAAACAGCTTAAACCAGCCTAGGCTGATTGGCTGGTTTTAGTTGGTTAACCATTTCCAGCCTGGTCTTAGCTGGTCAGGCTGGGAGATGACCAGCTAAAACCAGCTGTCCAGTTTAAACCAGTCTGGTAAAGCTGGCTTTAGCTGGTCATTTTCTAGCCTGACCAGCTAAGACCAGGCTGGAAACCAGCATGGAATTAGCCAAAACCCCTCTAAAACCAGCCTGCTTAACCAGATAAAATCAGCCAACCAGCTTAGGCTAGTTTAAGCTGTTTTTTCAGCAGGGTCTTGGACAAAATGCTACAGAATTACATCTTAGCATAGTTAGTTGTTAAGAGAGGGAGCACAAAAATCATAAAGAAAACACTTCAAATAAATAAGCTGCAATGGAACTGCTTGGATGCATGTGTGAAGGAGTCATTACACGATATTATCACAGATCAGCTGTTGCAGTCAACGCAAAACACTATCACTATGACAACACAAAAAAATCAAGCTGCAGATGGACTGAAAATAGCAGCTGATGAGAATAAAGCTAATCTTGCTTTAGTGACTATGGTGATGGATACTTGTAGCTGACCAGCAGCCCAGTGCCAAACAATATAAGACACTGATGCTATTGGTGCTTTTTATGTTACTAAAAATATGGCAAATAAACAATCTCTGTGTGTGTCAATACTCACGGTTCTAGACGTAGGGGGAGCTGAGGGGCTGGTGAGCGAGACCATCTCCTGGATGGCCAGGCGCAGTTTGAGGCGATGCAGTGGGTTGCTGATGCCAATCTCTCTCTGGATCTCTGTGTCCGATAGGGCTGACATGATAGCGCCGCTTTTTACATTGGCACGACATGCAGCCACGTACCATGCTGGCATTCCCAACCACAGCTTTGAAAACAAAATATTGCAGCATTATTACACGTACATAAAAAAGGCACATACAAGGATAAAGATGTTGTATATTGCAAGCTTTACCACTAGATGGCGCAATTGAACTGTAATTATGTCTTTTTTTTCTCAATATACTGAATCCTCCCAACTTTAGCTCATTCTGACCACAAACCAAGGAACAATATAGCATCTCTTTCACTACTTTTTAATCAGTGGCGTTTATGATTTATTGACTTCAATAAACCACTAATAAAATACATAAATATGAAACATTAACACTATCTTGGGAAACTCCAAACCCCTTGTCTTGGTTAAAGACACAAACATTGCAGCCATGTTGCTCAGGCTAAATGTTTCAGTTGCATCATTCGAGGAGACAGCATGTAATATGCAGTTGTTCTCTTTATTGAGTTGAAACAGCTCAGATCTTTATTTAGCTGCCATTAAAGAGCCCTGGAGTTCATTCTTACTATGCAATATCCTTGAAATTTCTGCAATTACATGAGCTCAAAATACAGAAATAAGTCCAAGGATCCTATTTCCTCAGTGCTATTATGGCGCATTAATGCCCAGCTCTCATATTATAGTAATGTGTGGGCATACTGTCAAAACTATTACAACTACTGGGTCTACAAAGTTTTCATGAATTCCCTTTAGTACAAATTTGGATTTCTTTTATTTTTTTATTTCTTTAAGAAGATTGCATATTGTATTAATTAAGGCTGAAACATTTTTGGAACACACACAAATCTAGAATACATTCTATAATTACCATAACAGACTGTCACAGAAACATTAGCTAGATTTGTGGAAGATACATGACAAAAGTCACTTTAAATGTTTCCTCCAACTCAATAGAATAACACTGAACCTAATCATAATCATAAGAGTCCTTTCACATCATGCACCTGACAGGATTCCATCAAACTTGTGATCACTGCCCTCACAAACTTTGAAGATTGGCTCCAACAACTAATGTTAACTCTTTCCAGTTGGGGCACAAATTTTGATAAAAGTACAGTGATGCATGAGCTCAGCCTTTATTAACCTAAGGCAACAGTAACCATTAGTTATACTATGCCAAGACAAACCCATTTACCAAATTTACTCTTTAAAGAAAGCACCTCTGCTCCAATATTAGTCAAACCCCACTTTCTAGTAACTCTGATCCAATCTCAAGTGCATTTGCAATCTTGTGGACCTACAGTGGCCACCCTGCATGCACTTCTGTAAAGTCCATGAGACATTAGGTTGTTCCACTCATCACAGTTTTTGAAAGTGTTTGTGGACACCTTTGCAGGCATTATGCCTGGACCCACCAGCCGATTTTAATTCACTAACATTTAAATCCCAAGGAAGACCTCTATCTCAGATTGGTTCATTGTAGATGACCAATAACTAAACACTTTAATATGCTTGCTCCGGCATTCTCTATTATCACTGGACTACAATCTACAGGGCAGTGGTCATCTAGGATTGCTCTGACACAGGACTTATGAATCAACATCAAATGATATTCATGTTTTTTGGGCCCTGCCCACTCTTGACTTTGATTTCTCAGAAGTGAATACTGCCCACCTCCAACCATGCGACTACTGTAGGACCGTCCCACTGAGCAAAAGGTAACCCTTTTCTTCTGGCTTCTTCCAACAATTCGTGTCTAAAGAAAGAGAGAGAGAGAGCAGTTGACAGAGACAGAGCGAGACAGAGAGGAAGATAAGGAGAAAGACAGAACCAGCTTAGAGATAATCAACTGAACTAAGAGAGAGAGGGGGAAAGGGGCATGTAGAGAGAGAAAGTGAGATGCTTTATCTGTCTCTGCCAGGTTTCCTGTCCTTTAATGGCCACTATCTGTTTATCAGAGTAACATGGAGCACTAAATGCATAAACTATTTTTTTTTAAAAATCTTCAAAGTTTCTTTCATATCCACTAGTCTTTAATAAGCATGACAAACCCTAACTTTTCATGCAATCTATGCAAGGGGCACCTGAGCCGATATGTTGCTCTGTTTCAGTTCACATCACCCTGTAATTTAATTTAAGCTCTGCCTTGTCTTTTAAACGGGGTCTGGGTTTCTGATTACAAATCAAAGAGGCTGCGATGGGATAAAACAGAGGAAAGAAACCAAGGGTAGAGTCAGTCATGCTGAGATGCTGGTTTAATGGAAAATTCCACTTTCTCAGATAAACGTATCGTGACATTTCCTTGCTGTGTCCTGATCATCGCCTGTAAAACTGCTAGGTTTGGGAAACAACAACAATACAGTGACTTATCGAGGGAAAACAGAAATGCCTTTTCTTTTGAACCCTGTTCCGTGTTTTCGTTGATAAATATTTGCGCTCTAAGACAAGGCTGCTATCATAAACTCTCATCAGACTTTCACACTACGCAGTTCTCAGCTGGGAAATATGTCTAGCTTTTTCCAAGGTTGCCTTACTAACTTTACAAGCGCTGAAGGAAATGTTACGATACATCTTTCCTCGCTTATGTCTGAACAACAGAGAACACTCGTCTCCAAGGATACATAACCTTGAGTCGGTGTAATTCAGAGGTACGCTGTGTAAGATAAAGCTTTGGGCTGTTTATGTGTACTATGGTAAAGTATTTTGGAGTTCTGGCTACGCTACATCTACAGTGAAGTATATGTAAGCTGATGTTCTGTTGGACTTTAAGGCAGAGACAGTTCTCTTGAAGATCAGCTTCATAATTCAGAAAGATATTTGGGGTCTACAGTAAGGCCACTTGATGTGGGTACAATACTGACACATGCTGTAGTGAGTGATATGGCTCTGTCTGCAAAAATTACATCTTAAAACCACCTACAGTATGTGACAACTGACCTCAATCCCACCTACTGTAAATGGTGCCAGTGATGGATCTTCATCTGGTCCTGTAAAAGGGGGATTGGTTTTCCTCTAAAGGCCGGGACACACCAAGCCAATGGTTTGCCATTGGGCAGAGGCAGGCTGTCAGGCTAGTCTGCTTGTTATGTTACACACATCGTCTCTTGTCAGGCTCAAGAAGGAGTTTGCTTAAATCAGCCATCACCAGAAAGTTAGGACTCTGAAAGTCTACAATTCACAATGCAAAAAAAAAAAAAAAAAAAATGTTTTTGAAAAAAAAAAACTAAATTAAGCAACTGACCAAGAGAAGACAAGTCAAGAGAAAACAAATAGAAGTCGTCTGCCATTTCAATGCATTTTTAATTACTTGCAAATTGTATAGATTATCAAATTACCAGACATATTTGCGCAAGCAAATCACTCTGTGGTGAAAGAGAAATGCTGTGGAAAGGGTGCGCGAATACTGCTTTATGGTTTATATGTGTGCAGCACCAGTTCTGGTTTCCTTTTGTAGAATGACAACATATACTGCCACCTGCGGATATAGAACAATACGTTTTCTTACGTAGGCGCAGAATCTATGTTTTAATCCCCTGTCTATTTAATGTGTTCACACACAGCATTTTTTTTTTGTTATTAATAATTTTTATGTTATTTAAGCTTTAATACATAGAACAGTAAAGAGAATTGACAAAAATTCATAGTGAGGGGAAGGCTCTGCAATAGACCTCAAGCCGAAAATCGAACTTGGTGCTCTATGTCGACGCACTTAACCACTGCACACACACAGTATTTTGGTCCAGACGGGACCAAACAAAGCTGCTGCAAAGTAACAACACAGTTGGTTTTCATTGCCACAAGTTCTTTGACATCAGCTTGGCGTGTCCCGAGCTAAACTTGAGAGTCAACATGATTGACTTTCCTAACTTTGTATTCTGTAACATAATAGCCATTGTTTGGTCTAGTGAGTTTTAATTGGATTATATTTTAGGCTGACAGTTAAAGTCTGACGTAACATTTTATCTTTTCTTTCATACTGTGATTTACACTCAAGAAAAATCGATTATGGGACCAATAAATGAATAAATAAATAAATAAATAAAATAGTTTACAAATTGCTGTTAGCAATCAGAACTGGATGCAGGCTTTAAGTCAATTTTAAGACAATAAAGCATCCTGGAGAAGTTTGTCTTTTCACTTAAAGGGTAATTCAGATATAAAAAGAGAAGAAACAATTCCGGTATAATATTTCACACTGACTGCATGAATTTGCATTACATGCTCACACTACTGCAAAGCTAGTGGGTCTAATCAAATGATCCTAAATTTACAGAAAAAAAAGAACAGCTTAGAACCAGACTAGGCACCGGCACCATTTCAGTGGCGAATCATCAAGCCATCATAAACTTTGATGTCTGTGTACTGTAAGGCCTTTGTGGTGGTGGTGTTGGTGGAGGTGATTATGATGTATCTCTCCTCATCTTTACTTGTGGTACTGCATATGTTCAGGTTGAATGTAATGCGCATGAGTGACTTCTTCTGAACATACTGTAGCTAGGAAGGGAGAGAAACAGTTATGAGAGAAAACGAAATGAAAAGAAAAAAAAAAAAAAACAGAGCAGGGAAATAGTCAATGAGTTGACAGTCCATAACCAGAAACGAGACCTGGTTATTGAATACGGCACACAATGCACGCACGGACACGCGCACGCACACATACAGTACACGAGAGGAGAAAGGCCTCGGCATGGCAGATCGAGAACAGGTTGTTATAAAGGCACACATTCTCTCTCCAGGCAGAGATGCATCCTCTATAGAACTGCAGAGGGGGAGAATCACATTTACAGTCAAATGAAAAAGAAAGGCAGAGGCAGGGGTCTCTGGATGGACAGAAAGGAAATGCGTCGGACCCCCTGAAGATAGACACACACTTTAGGAGCATGACGACAGACACGGACAGAGCGTCGACAGTGGAAAATGCAGCAAGTCTCGGCAACACAAACTAAACTTACCCGCTGATACAGAGTCAGATGAGGAGAAGAGAGATAGAGAGAGAGAAAAGAAAAATAGAGAAAGCGATGGGAGACAAAATTAAATGCTTGTTATTGAGCATACTGTATGTAGACTTTAGAATAAACACCTCAGCTCAGAGACGTGCATTACTTTTGGCAATCGTACTTTTGCACTTTGACTTATCAGTCACAAATTGAACAGATCTACTTGTCTTTGGAAGTTTTTTTTTTCTGTCATACAGCATGCAATAAGAGTGGCAGTGCAATGGAAAGGGTGAAGAGTCGTCCTCCCGTGGTGGCGCCACCATGGATGAGACCGACACGAGTCCAATTACATAAAACGCTCACATTCACCCAGCAGCGTTAAGGCAAAGAAACGTGATATTCAGCAGGCATTGCATGGCATGCTGTAAATACAACCAAGTGTGCAACAAACTCACAAAACAGCTATGAAAGGCACATTCTCATGTTAACACACATTCTACCGATGGCATCATACAAATACACTACTTCAGTAGTACATTAAGTGTTATTAGTGTAAACATATTGTTTAAAGATAGCCTGGTATTATTATTATTTATTTATTTTGCAACAGATACATTAAGGCCCTGATATACTCCCAAAGAAATACTTTTTTGTATTTTTGTTAAGGGGTATAAGTAAAGAGCCTGATCTGTGGTTAACTGTAAGCAATCTCCCAAATACACAGATCAACATTTGGATTGTGTAAATATGTGCTGTGCATTTAACTCTCAATAACAAAAATAACATCCAACTAAAATGACTGCATTGAGAACGTGAATAGTGATATTTGCTTAGGCTTTACAATTCAGAACTCAAGTAACATTGCATCACGTAGTTTTTTATTTTATATATTATATAAAGATATACAAAATATTATAGCTCTATACAATAAAGCAGCTCTTCAGCGTTCATGCTTTTGATTTAAAGCCCAAGAAATACATCATCACCATGGGCCAATGGCAAGTGAACTGTGAAGTGAGCCAATCCAGAAATGCTAGAACATTCCACATTCCTTACATTAACCCCAAAACAAGCATTATTTAGTACCTTGATTTGCTTTAAAATAACATAACACTATCTCATTCTACCATTTAAATCGAAGTATATCAGGGCCTTAAATAGGTAGTACACTCATAAAATATGCTTAAAAGTGTATTAAGACTTAACATTACATCATTTTTAGATCAGTAAGGTCAGAAACATACTCTATGCACACACAAGCTTTTTCCACGTTTTCATTCAATTATTCTTTTTAAAGTCAGAGTATAACACGACTGCATGCTCTCAAAATTAACAATTTGCTCACTAGCATAGAGTATGTGTCTGGCCAACACATTTCAATGTATCCAGATGGGCCATATGTCAAAACACTGCTTTTTATAGGAAGGTTTGTAAAGCACATCATAACACTGTCTGTGAAGAAGGCTGTTATGACGTGTCAGTGATGTTTAATTAGTTTTACTTAGGGCCCAGCAATAATTACCTTCATAAATGTTTGTGTTAGCCATATGGGTTGTAAATACTTACTTCTTTTTAAGCCTGCGATCTTTCTCCGCCTGCGTTCCCAGCTTTCCCACTGCAATGTCCTGACCCATGAGCTCAGGATCAGACACATTCCCTACTGAAGAAGAACATCCGTTAACTGATAACCTCGTAAGGTTACTGCAATAATTTTATTCACATTCAACTCTAGGTCAGGTATTTAAGGTATTGAAATGAGCATTGAAAGCACTGTGATCTCATGTTTTATGACACGGCTGTCTGGAATAATTGATTCTGATTGGTCAGTCACAACATTCCAAGGTTAGTTGTTCCCAGATACTAACAACACAGAAACTAACAACACAGACTCAGAATCATTTTGACCATCAGTGAATTCATTCACATCCATATGCAGTTTATGTTTGTCTCTGCTGCAGTTTTTGATTGTTTGACATCATTTTTTCTGACTGAATAGTATGTATGTTCGTGTCCCATCCAGCCATTTTTGTTTCTGTCAGTATTGCCTTTAATTAAAAAATTAATACTATTATGGCATGGAGTGTGTAAAAAGGGGGATAAAGTACATCCAGGTGGTTGTTATAGCAGAATAAAGCTCTATATTCGTATACAGCAGCACTCAAATGATTCAGCTACGAATAATTCTGTTGGACTATATTCTGCATTAACAGCTTCCTGGATGTACAAAAAGCATGACTTTTTTAAAACCTGGATCCTCTGTTTCATAGTTTAGATGTGTTGGTTTCACACCTTGTCCTGGTCCCATAATCTCTTTGCCCAGCTGCCCCAGTCTGGCCTTTTCTTTCTTTCCGAACAGTCGACCGATGGAGGATTTGATGCCCTTCTTCTTGGGCTGTTTGTGGAGTGAATCCTGACTGCTGGCTACACTGCTGAGAGCACTGGCCTCTGTTTCTAATGCAGCCGTCAGCCTGCAGACACAAAAGCACATTTACAGTCAGCTTATGTTTGCACACAACATGTGCCCGCTTGGTTTTATTTTCTCACCGAGCGTCATTGTGTGAAGAAGCGGGCAGCGTGTGGGTCATGCGGACTTGGCGAGGTGTGGGAGGTGGAGAGGTCTCGCATTTGATGGTGGCCTTGTCCTCTCGGCCGTCCTCGTCCACCGCTGCGATCTGAGGGGTAGAGAGGACTCTTTCACTATTTTGAATGCCTGAAAATGGCACTGAGATTGTATTTTTCGTTCATATACAGGGTGACATCTTTCTGACCTAAGTACAGTCAGCGGGTTTAGCTCAATTGGTGATAGACCAATTCATATATGAAATTAACGCCTTTTTTGGAGCACAATTTGTTATTTTCATCCTAGAATATGGCTAGAATATTGCTTAAAATATACACAATGCTTCAGTTAGACATGAAAGTATTGTTGTCAAACATAATATGCCATGATTTCCAAATGATTGGAAAAAGAACCTATCATAGTTTGCTAAGCATTTAAATTCTTGCTTAAATCCTAACAGCAACTTTTTTAGGCCGGACATATTTTCGCTATGTATATATATATATATATATATATATATATTATTTGTTTTATTTTAATACTAATTATTATATTCATAATACATGATTCTTAGAGTTCATTTGTAACCAACAGAAATATTAAATGTTCACAAAATATGTGTGCTCAAGCAGCAAAATACTGTAAACAATAATTAGAACTGCTCTTGTTATTAGTATAAATGTTAAAGGTACTACTGTAATTATTATACTTACAGATTTTTTTTCAAATTTAAAGTTCATTTCAAAAGGACAAAAGTAGCTTTGTCTCATTTTAAGCAAAAATCTTATTCAAGTTGTATTCTTTCCAATTCAAAACACTTTTGGACTGGAGCTAATTCAATCTCTCACTCCTGAATTTTAAATGGAACACATTATTAATTTTCTTTACCTACCCTTTTTTGGTCTCCTTTATTACAACCTATGAAAATAATCATGCCAAATACAATTCTTTTGTGAATTCACCACGTTAAGTACCTTTCTCCTGTGCTTCCGCAAGTCACTGGGCTGCAGAACAGACAAAAAAATGTTAACAGAGTGCAGCCAGTTAACAGCATTTATATTCATAAGGCGGTCAAGGAATTATTCTAATTCTCTATTGCTTTATTTGATTTTAACGAAAAAATGTGACAAATTGTACTGCAAATTGCACACAAACAAAATGGAAAATGGAAATGTTAACAAAAAATGTATGACTATTTAAACAGCATAAAATATTGCTGATTTAATGGGTTTCAATGGGACATTTTTCACCTGAAATGTCTGTGCAGTTATTTTGTACACAACATCAAATAGATTTATGATAGAAAATGATTGTAAAATTAAATAAATGTATGCAATTTGCATTAGCACTGCCATGATTATCACTAAAATCCGTAACACTTTATTTTGATGGTCCATTTGAGTATTAGTAGACTGCCTGTTAATATCCTTTGACATGCTCCTTCAACAGACATTTAACTGACTATAAGAAACTTTGCAAGTACATGCTAACTTATGCTAACCCCAACCTAACAGTCTACTTATAATCTAATTAGAATTAGTTGGCATGTAGATGCAATGTAACTTAAATTCAACAAACGGACCATCAAAATAATAATAAACTAAAAATGACAAAAACGTCTATAAGAGTGTACACAAAGGCTACTTTCCATTATAAACAGTATGCAGTGTAAATGCTCATGATGTGCCACAGATATTTACCAGTGTCATGACCCCCATGCGCTCCATGTCTCGGGCCGGGCTACGCGGGGTGAGTTTTGGGGTGGAGTGTCCACTGGGCGGTGAGGAGGAGGCGAGAGAGGAGGCGGTGGCTGAGGCAGTGATGGAGGTTCCAGGATGGTGGACTCGTGCCAGATTCAGACCCTCCAGACTCACACTGGCCACGCGGTTCTCAATCTCTTCTGCCCTCAGTTCAGTCGACTCCTTCTCTTCCTGGATCAACCTGGAGAAATTAAGAAAAAAAGTTCACACACTCACAGTGAGTTATGAAAATAAGCTAATAAGAGTTTTGAACAGAGTAAACTGTTTTGGCAAGAAAACCAGAAACACTGCAGATAAAATATCTAATTATGGCTTACTAGCAAAGTAAAGCTGAACAGTAGAAAGAAGATAAAAAGCATACGCAAGATCAGACTATTATTCATCCCACAATCTTGATCCTGCAATGTTTGGTTGCAGATTCAGAAAGTGGAATCACCAGATTTCATTGTTTCTATGAATCAGTTTGTGCTTTGTACATTACTTTAAAAAAAGTTTTTTGTTTTAAAAAACAGATCTGTTGATCTGTGATCAGCAATGGAGTGTATTGACATAATCTGATTAATTTTTCAACTATCCATGTGTGTAAATTGGCACAAAACTTGTAATAAGTTAATAACCTTACACATTTGTTGTGGGCTGTTTGTTCCATCTTTCCACTTTCATGTGTCAAGAGTATATTCAGCAATTTATTTAGAGTGGGTTCTTTCCAATCCCTTTCTTAATGATAAGGCCTAACTGTTTAACAATAAAAATTTATTTATTTATTATTGAAATTAATTTGGCATCAAAAAAATTATATTTAAGAAATGGTCTGCATCAACTGCACTGAATCAAGTCACATCAAATATTTTTCAGGGTCGATCGCGAAAAAGTTTACAATTATTTTTAAAAATACGTTTTTTTTCATATAATAATTGTAAAAATAATTCTACAATATTGTCATTTTACCCAATTTAATAAAGTACAAAAAAAATTAAGTAGTTTCCACATACTTTCAGTATCACTTTTGTTTAAAATGACACAATTTAATCTTGTATCTATGAAATAAACTGCTCCAGATTTGAGTTTACAAACCTATTGGAATTATAACAACAACAACTAAAAAACTGGATGAGTTTTTCAGAGCTATCCTGGATAGTTTCAAATCATCAATAATAAAAATTCTGCTAACTGAGTAACCCATGTTTGACCTTTAAGTGCAGTTTGTCATTAACATCTATGTTGATGCTGGAACATCATTTTTGTTGGAAAATGGAATCCATACCTATATTCCCTACCGCTAAACTCAACCATAACTGTACATTATTCCCAAAATCAGACGGGAATAAAAGTTGGATAACACTCATGTAGAAGTGCATAAACCTAACCGTAAGACTAATCTTACCATAAACAGTAAACCTATCACTTAATTCTGATTGGACATAGATGTTGATCCAGGAACATGTCCTTCTTGGTGAAAGCAGATTAGCGTTTGTTAATTGAGTTTGATAAACAGTGGTTTTCAGGGCATTCTGTGCTGTGGGTTTATATATCTCCACAAACGCCATTACCTTCTTATTTTCTAAAGCTTCTTATGTTTTATTCAGATTTATGTATGATGTTTTCATTTAAATCTTAATCGTCATTTAGATCTTTTTAAAATTAAAAAGATTTTTAATTTTTAAATTAAAATGTTTTGTAATATACAGCCCTTGTGTATTAAATTATATAATAGACACTGACAGTAGCGAAGAACTGATCCTTTTAGCAAAACAACAACTTGTTTGCTATTGTCTTCTGAGTAACAGAAGAAAACACACTTAGACTAGCCTGTAACTTGAAAACAATCAAATAAAACAGAAATACTAACAAAAAAGCAAATTAAATAAATTTGGGGAAAAAAACAAAAAACAGTAAAGCTCATTAAAGCATAGAACAAAGCTATGTAAAAAAAAAAAAAAAATTAAAACAAGTACAAACAATTAAACAAACCTACGTTGTAAGTACATTTAAAAAATAAAAAAAACAGCAAAGCAAGGCACAACACACTAAAGAAAGCAAAACAATACAAGAGTCAAACAAAACCAAAGTACAAAAAGCAAAGCTTTCAAAGTGAAGTAAAACAAACATCTTTAAGCAAAGCAAGTAAACCAACCAAAGCAAAAAACAACAGCATAGCAACGTAAAGAGAAATGAAACAAATCATGGCTAACTTCATAGCAAAAAACAATGAAAGAAAAAAAAATACTCTTCCATTGAAAAACAAGTTGCAGCATTCAAGAAAATCAACCTGCAAACAGTTTGCTTCAATTTGTCCCTGCAATTGACCTTGAACACAGAAAATAGAAAAAAGAAGTATTGAGGGACAAAGAAATGAAAAAAAAGGTGCTTTGTGGCCGAAGACTGATGCAGTTGGTTTCAGTGACCGCTCGAGGACACAAAACAACAACGCTCAAGAATCACAAACTGCAGTTTACTGCTCTAACATTCGACAGCTCCTGTAGAGGATGTTTTGGCTAAGATTATTGAATATCTTGTAAAGAAACCATCGACCAGGCTGCAAACAATTAAACATCGACCATTTGTCAAGCATTTAACGTGTTTACAGTTGATTCTAAGACATTCAACGCTTTCATGTCTTCTAGCCCAAAAGCATAAAGATCAGAGCTGGTGCTTTATCAAAAGCAGACAACAACTGGGAGGAGAGAAATTAACAGCGCAGGGGAACATCTTTCTTCCTGAGGTAATCAAACAACAGTTTAATAGTATAGTGAGCCAGCCTGATCTCACAAGGAAGGTTAACTGTTTTACATACTGCACTGTCAGAAAAGTGGCAAATACATACAACTTCATCCGTAGCTGTATTTTTAAACGTTGGTATGCCCTCAAACCTCAACCTCAAATTTTTCTTTTAAATTAATATTTTCCATAAGATGCTTTACAATATTTTATTTGTGCATAAACATTAGTTTAGTCAGTACTAAAGACAAATCTGGAGCTTATCTAACAAAATAACATTTAAATCTGGTAAAAAAATGAGGTCGTCAAATTTATGTTAGGGAAAAATCAAGAGAAACAAAAAAATGTTGTTGAAATGTAGTAGTTTAATTTTATTTTTCAATATTTTGCATGAATTTAAATGTGTTATCTTTCCATTTCTAAAGATTTTTTGTGACTAAAATATTAATTTAATAAATACATAATACATTTTATAATAAATCTGTTTTGTTCATATGCACCAATATATATTACCCATATTCATTGAGAAATGGTGAATGGTGAGAAGTGTGTGTTTGTGTTTGTGTGTGTGTGTGTGTGTGTGCGTGTGTGTGTGTGTGTGTGTGTGTGTGTGTGTGTGTGTGTGTAAAGAGATTCAAATGACCCTTCAGCCTCGGCTAGAGAACCTGGTCATCCCAAATCTGTGATTTCTACCATATCAAAGCAAGTTTAATTATAATAATAATATAATAATATGACACTTTAATTTATTGTGTTCATTGACAGAGAGGGGAAAGACAAGGGCCTCTACACTAATGTCTGACTACAGGAACCATCAGGAAGTTAGTTTCAATCTTCTTTGTGCTACAATCATTGTTTTTCTCCAATTTTCATCACTGTTCTCCACAAAATAAAGGACTTTTGTTGAAAAGACTTGATTATTTCGTAAATCATGGCTCTACAATAATGGTAAGACCACAACAAAACAATCATTCAATTTTTGAATTACATTATTTATGAAAAAATCAACACTTCATAATTTGTCATCTAAATTTGATCTCCACTGTAAATGTGGAAAACAGAAACAAAAAATGAAAGCTGTCTGTAGTAAGTTTCTCTCTGAAATGACCTTCTCTCTGAACACAACTAAACTAAAGTCCAACTAACATTTCAATAAAATAGATGAAGAAAAATGTATCTGTTTAAGTATTAATCTCACATTTCCACTTAGCTGCACTTCAAATTAGTAAAGTGCAACAGCAGTGATAGTTTATTTCTTAGTGCTTGGTTAAAATTGTATCTGACAACCATAGGTAAAAGTGCAATTTGTTGATTTAAACCTCATCTAACTATAAACTCAACAATTCTTAGGAGATGCACAGGCTACATGCAGAAATGTCCTAATATAAGCAGATAACTTTTGATATCTTTCTATTCAACAAATACAATTGAGCAGAACTCATACCTCAATTTCTTAAGTGTCATATCAGCCTCCACCACAAACAGTACAGTGCTACAACAGGAGAAACCATGAGCTTGGGCTGATAGTTAAATCAGCATATACAATGCCTGAAGGCACAGCTCTGCTTTCTAGAGTACCTGTTATTGTTTTTACATCATTCTAGGACGCGGTGCAGAATCCTGATTCTGAGTCTCTGTAGAAATGTAGCAACTTCAATAAAGGATGACACTTAAAACATATAAACATGAGTGTAGGGAATAGCAGGGGAACAGGATTATATGTAGGCTTCTAAAACACAAAAATGACAAGTTCAATTCCCCATACTGTACATTCAGAGAAAAGCCAATGGGATAATGTCACATCAGTCTAACAAAACTCACGTTGGATGAATATAGTGTGCTGAAGGGCAAATACACAATTAACAAAGATCAGAGGTAAATATTTACCCCAGAATGGTTAAGCGTGACAGAAAATGATCTTTAAGTGCCAGTAACGTAGTCAAGCAGAATATACCAAAAATAAGATTTAAAACAAAAAGTCTAAATAAAAACATATGAAAACTATAGTAAATAATTAATACTAAATAATTTTTAGTGTTAAATAACTAAGTACTATCCATGATACATTTGACATTTGTAATTAATTAATACAATAAATAATTGAGGATCACACATTACCTGACTTTGAAATAGTTTCAGACACAAGAAACCTGTGCAAAAGCAAGCATCTCTTTTTCTAGTAAGTGTGCAGAATACAAAAATTATGTGCTGAAAATCTCAAACATGTTTGATTTTGACTTGTTGGAATGATTGTGTATGTTTTTAAGACAACATTTAAAGGATATTTTAGTGAAAAGCTGTAAAACAACAAGAAGAACAAACATGGTTTTAATTTATGCCAGGCTTAAAAAAAATCAAACGTGTTATCCTGGTTTAGTTCCTAACTTTCTGTAAAATAAAAAATAAAAATAAAAATAAAAAAAATGTGCAGCAAGGGTTGGTGTTAAGCCCTTTGCTGTTCTCCTTGAAGACATATAATTAAGAAATAAACATTTCACTTGACATGGAGACTGTAAAGCAATTAAAAAAAAAACAGGTCTTTGAAATTTCTTGGCAGACTACTAAACCTAGTCTACATAAAGGTGCAGTGGTCATGATGAATAGACTGACCGGATCTCTTTATTGATGGCATCCAGTTGTTCCTGCAGCATCATTGCCAGAGTCTGAGCGTCTGAATGTCCACTAGGAGACAGCAGATCCATGGAGCTGAAAAGGGTCTCTCGATCATCATCATCGATGTCTGACATCTCGGTGTCGCTCTCGAACGGGTGGCCACCCAGAACGCCAAGCTGCTGAGAGCGCCATTCATGCTCTCCCAGAGACTTGGCCTGTAAGAAAGAGAAGTGGGAAAAATTAAGAAATGATTCAGCACAAAGCTTATGAAACTAGGGGTGAAGGGCTCCGACCTTCTGTTCCTCCCTGCGTAGCCCCATGCGTCCTCTTCTGGGCCTGCGGATCACCTTGGTGGAGCGATAATGGTCTGACTGTGTCTCAGCAAGAGAACCCAGGGAGAAACGCAGATCTCCAGATGCATCCAGATGTGAACTGGAATCAAGACCACAATCTGTTATCAAGACATTTAAGCCCTGTTTTTTTCTGATCTGATCAGTGGTCAACCAAAGCGAATTACCATTTTCACCAGACAATACATTATTCAAGTGCATCTCTTGTAACCACTTTCATTTCATCAAAACCCTTCTCGTTTCATCACACTCTTACATCACTTTCAATGCAATGCAGAATCAAACTACAATTAAATGAAAGAACCGGTTGTTATTCAGCTTATAAGTGAGCAGAAAATCAAACTGCATAGATATGAGTGTCAACTGTGAATTCAACTGTAATTTGTGTTTTGGTGCAATTAAACAATTTCTGAAAAGCTTGTTTTGATTTACTTTCTCACATTCTGCTCCAAAGTGATTACACATTAGGCCAGTATGCATATAGTAAGTGGTTCCTTGTGGATGTTTGAACACATTCAGTGTTCACACTATGAAAGAAATCCAATTGAGTGCAGATTTAGACTATTTACACCTGTATTAAACACTGTCCATATTAATGAAAACACATCTTAAGAACAGGTTCCTACATTAGGTTCCTATAATTTCCTGTGTTTTACTATGAATTACATAATTAGTATATTAAAGTTAACTTTAAAATCTCCTCTATACAACTTGGTTGCTTGGTGATTTCTAAAATACATTATATTAGATCTAAAGGTGTTTACATTAGATTAAGGTCACCGCAATAGTTTTAGTTGCAGCAGCTCATGCAGATTAAACTTTCTGACAATAATAAACAGGCCACGACTGAACATAAAGGATGATCTCTGAGTGATAGTCTCCAAAATTAAACCAAGAATAGACTTGCGCTGTAAACAATTTGGCTCCCAGTGTCATTAAGTGAGGTTAATCTTTAAATATACTAATGAATAAATTACTATAAAAATATATATGGGTGTTAGACTGTTGCCCTTGTCTGTGTTGTCAATATGCTTGTGTTTATATACTGTAGGCCTATTGGTGTGTGTGAGCCATTGCGTGCAACGTTTCTATAAATATATAACTACCTCTGAGGATAGTGGGGGTTGTGAGTCACTGGCATTATTATTATTATTTTGGGGGTCGTGGGATGGAAAGTTTGGGTACCCATGGCCAAGTGGTTAATGCATTTGTGGCACTAAAGTGCTCATGGTGACCAGAGTTTAATTCCAGGCTCCAGGTCCTTTGCCGATACCTCCCCTTTCTCTCTGCTGTCATGCTTTCTTGTCTACACTCTACGCTGTCCTATAAATTAAAGATTGAAACTCCTAAAAAATTATTATGAAAAAATAATGAAACTGTAGGTTTATTTCTGTCAATTTTGAGTATTTTACAAATCTTGCAATAATTTTTTAATAACTAGCAAATTTAAGTTTAAATTAAAATTGGTAAAGGAAAGGAAATTAATTCTTAAAGGTAATGAGTTTAGTATGAATTAAAATTGTCTTTTACTTTTGTATTTTAGATTTTTCAATTAGTGATGTTGTTTTTACTTTCCGAACCTATGGTCACAATTTATATGCAGATATTTTATGCAGAGACTGGGGGAAAACAATACATTTTTTAATTAATTTCTTTTGCATAATCCAGATTTTCACGCATTTATAATCAGCATTTCTCTCTGTTTTTTAATTGATCATAACAATGCCTCCTCCAGAAAGAAAACACATAGTGCTAATGTTGCTGCCAACCACTGTATTGTGTTAAAGCCTTCGTCTAGGATGCCTTCAAAACCTGCAGAGCTTTTTACAAGTTTTGTTTACAGTAAAAGGATATTTATTCATGCTTTTTGTCTTACCGTGAAAGCGTGGGCTCTGTAAGGGATCCGGCCCTCAACCGGTACTGATCCAGTTCAGATCTCAGCTTCTCCATCTCTTCCGAGATATGAGACTACAACCACAAAGCACATTAAAGTTTCATTTTACTCAGAACAGACAGCATTCAAATTAGTTTCCACCGAGCTAGTTTTCTGAAAGTAAGAACTAATGACCTTTTCTTGAATGGAGTCTTCCAACTGCTTCCTGTAGCTTTCAGAGTCTTGTATTAAAACGTTCTGGAGAAAGAGCAAGAGAAAGAGTAAGTAATGGGTAAACTCTGAATCTTCATCAGCGATGTGTGGATCTTCTCTCACCTTCTCCTCCAGAGCGGCCATCCTCTCTTTCAGGTGAAGCTGTAAGCGTTCATTGGACTCGGTCAAGAGTCTGTCCACAGTGTCTGACAAACGCTTGTTGTGCTCCTCGTTCATCTTCTCTCTCTGCCGAGCCTAATGATAAACAAAAACAAGACAAAGGTAAATAAAAACACATTTTTTATTTTCATGAAAATGTAATATTTTGCAATGTTATTTTTTCCTTATTTTAATGAGGTTCTTGTCTGTATTTAGAATACAATGCTAGTATAGGTACAAATTACAGGAGAGTTTGACTTTCCTAATTCAGGCTTTATTCCATCTGAAGGATAAACTCTTTAAATAGTGGAAAACAGTTTGATCTGTATTTTAATAATTTTATTAATAAAAAAAAAATAGATAATATAACTATACATTTGACCACCCCCATAATGGTTTAGAGCCCTGCACAGGACTTAAATTTAAGCTCTAACCCGGCTCTGGCCCGAGACGCACAGGCTGTAGCCCTGCCCTTGTCCAACAGCTCATCTAAATTTTTGTTTTTTTCCACCAAACAGCTTATACTGTTACAGCCATTAAAATAGACCAGGTCTGTATTTAATAAAAAAATTTTCGTTTGGTCTTTTTATCAAAATAATTTAGAGAAATGTTAGGAGTTTTTTTGTATGCAAGTTTTAGTTTTTTTAAGTGATATCGATATCCAAGCGGTTTGTTATCCACAGTGAGTTTACTTACTTTAATCCAGTGGCGCCTGCAGTCGTACGGCTATACGCACTGCACACACTGCACGTATCTACCATTTTATCTACTAGATAACTGGCCAACATAAATATATATTAAAATGAAGATGCAAAGTATATGAAATTATTAATTTTAAAAATATTTTTTCCATGAAAAATATACAAATTATATTTTTTGAGCTCATCCACTACTCATCTGTGGATGATTGTTGTGGATTATTTATTTATTTTTTTGGTCAGTGGAAAGTAAGGATTTGATTAATGCTTCACGGTAATTGTAGTAATCCTCTGTCATATACAGGGTACTTGCAAATTTTTGTTTATTATTGTATTATGTCATAATCCTAAAGATTATGTCTTGAGTGTCTGATTTTTCCTTGATGCTAATGTGCTTTGATTTTCTCCGTCTAACTCACGGCAAGTTCAGGTTTAAGCAACCCTGGCAGGAAAATATACATTTAGATTTCAAAGAAAGGTCACACTTTATTTTGATGGTCCGTTTGTTGAATTTAAGTTACATTGCATCTACATGCCAAATAATTCTCACTAGATTATAAGTAGACTGTTAGGTTGGGGTAGGGGTGGTGTAAGTTGACATGTACTTGCAAAGATTCTTATAGTCACTTAAATTTCTGTTTAGCAGCAGTATCAACAGATATTAAGCAGACAGTCTCCTAATACACTCAACTGGACCATCAAAATAAAGTGTTACCCAAAGCAAATAAATAATTATTATAACGAATTATATCATAATGAATGCCCTAAAATCATGTAGCCTTTGACAGCAAGCATTAGTGTTTCTTGAGATTGAAATAAGAATAAGGGATGATGAGGTGGGGCGGTGCTGGATTTGTGCGTATCTTGGAATAAATTCCTGCAGGCACCCCTGGACTTATAAGTTGTGCATTGTGCATAACTAGTTGGCTCATTCTGTTTTTCACAGTTTTAAGCTCACCATTGGCAAATTTTCTCTTTATGTTCTCTATTGCATGTGGCTGGAAATCTCTAAACAGAAGGTATCCCTGGCACTTCCGGAGCGCATGCATTAGATCTTATTAAACTTTTTAAAAAAGTTTTTTTCTAAAACAGGCCCGAAGCCTGATGTGCGTCCTAGCAATGAGGTAAAAATTTGCCTAAAGCCTGACCCTAGAGGTATTAAAAAGTCGGGCCCCAACAGGCTTGGGCTCAAATGCAGGGCTTTATAATGGTTGATACCATTGTGAATGCATGGTTCCACCCTGTGGTCTATTCGGGAAAATATCTAGTCAACAGTCTAAAACTGGCAGATCTAGAGTGTAAGTATTCAAGACAATTTTTGTTTTTATCTAAATATAACAGAAAAAGTAAAGTCAAACTACATTTATAGTGTCTATTTTAAAAGAAGCCCTGCACAATAACAACCTTACATGATCATCCATTTATAGTCATGGATGCAAACTTATAATTTTTATATCAAAAACAGGTTATTTTTCAGCATCATGTCCACTGAAATAACCCATCAAAAGTAACTGCAGGTCAGAATCCACAAAACACCGAAAGTTCCATTCATAATTGAGATTGAACTGAATTAAACGCATGAATTTGGTTCATTGAATAAAGTATATTTTAAGTCTACTACTAAAAAAAGCCAATGTATAATATGCACACTAAGTATTCTGCACAAAAAAAAATAAAACAATTTAATAGTAGTATGCTAGTGTTGTTATACTCTATGCCCTTAGTACATTGAATAATTAACTCTCAGATATTGATATTCATTATATTTGTTTATATTATTCATGTTTTTAACAAGCCATCTTTGAAACAAATTTTGGTAATACTATATTGTACGATATGAATTATTTATTAAGCATCAGCAAATAGTTCATTAATCTTAAGGATGACTATTTATGCTTTGCAAATCTAAAGAATAAAGCCTCTATTAAGGTAATATTAATATCTATTAATGTAGAGATTATGCTTAAATGATGAATTAACTTAATCAATTATTAATTGTGTGCAGTTATAATAAAGTGTTACCTAAATATGGTTTACTAAAATATGTATCGATGCATAATTTGGAGAAATGCTAGAGATTTACAGATTCAGTGCCTATATAGATACTGATATAATTACAAATGTATCTTTAAATAATGTTTTAATTAGTACGGGTACAGTGATGATGCTTCACCTTTTTATTAAAATACTGCAATAAATACTTAAATCAATGTTTGCTTTAAATATAATATACAATTTTTAATTCAAATAAGTGTAATTCTGCATTTAATGTGTTTGTATTTACACATTTAAATTTGATTTCATATTACTTTATATCATATAATTATACACATTATTAAATCACCTAGACGAGGGATGTCAAACTCAATTCCTGGAGGGCCGCATCCCTGCACAGTTTAGTTCCAACCCTGCTCCAACACACTAACCTGTAGGTTTCAAACAAGCCTGAAGGACTTAATTAGTTTGATCAGGTGTGTTTAATTAGGGTTGGAACTAAACTGTGCAGGGCTGTGGCCCACCAGGAATTGAGTTTGACATCCCTGACCTACACTGTGTGAGAACAACAAAAATCTTTATGCAACCGCACAATACAATGGTATAATCCATTAAAATTGTCTCAAATTTAAGCTAAATATCTAAAAACATTTAAAAATATAGCCTTTTTTTAGTTGTGTATGTTTTTTCATATTGTCGTTTTTCCTCTAAATTGAAAACAAAGATGTAAATATGATTGTGATGTTATATTGTCATATTTTTATTAAATTGCAAAAAAAAAAGATTGTTTAAAGACATCTCAAAATATCTTATGTTACAATTTAGATGTAAACATTAGATGTCAAATACTTTTTTCAAATTTTTTTGATAGATTTGTTCTACAAGTGTGTTGAAATGTGCAATTAATGCAGTGGCAATTATTATATGCAATTAAAACTGTAATAGTGATGATTTCAGAGTGTTTACCCTATTTAGTTACTATAATTTAACTGCAATACCATTTACCACCTTGAAAGTAAGAACATATATTGCATATATTTTGGCAGATGGATAAAATTAAAAATCTTTTAGTAAGAGATATAGTTGATTTTGCTTCTAGATTATTCGCCACTCAAGAAAAGGAAAATCAAGTGTTATGTATATACAGTAGATTTCCACACATCATGCATATATTTACCTAATGTGATAGATCAATTGAATATTGTATATTAACATATACATATTACAAAAGTATGGGAACACGAATCAGATCTTCTGACCCTGAGAAGCTCCTGGTTCTTCTCCTCTAGCTGTCCTTCCAAATGCCTCATCCGCTCCTCAATACTGCCATGCCTCTCCTCCGCCTGAACAACACAAACAAACATCAAATTTACTCAGACCATAAACAGGTAAAGCCTCCAATGAGCAGCGGAGAGGAGACCCCTGAACCATGACTGTGATGTTGGCTCGAATCTCCATCTTGATTTATGAGGTTGTGAGTTTGCTTGTGAACAGCACAGATATGGTTGAGCAGGTAAAGAGAAGGAGCTTCTGTTCTCTCCTGGGTGAACACCAAAGAGTCGAGTACGTCAGCAGCTCATTAAAGCGGAGAAAATCCCAGCTGAGCATCACATGCAGCTGAATAGACCCAAAACCACACACACTGAAGTCGATATAAGAGAGAGATTGAGAGAGAAAGAGAAAGAGAGATTTCAGGCCCACCTTCCTCAGACTGCTGTTCATGTCCTGGAGTTTAGCTTCTATATCAGACTAGCAAACCACAATATATAGAGAAATATCACACAGCATTAATAAAAAGCACTAGCTAGTTCATGGATTAACAATATATACCAGTAACAATTATCAAATTTAGTTTGAATAAAACCCATACAGTAAAACTATAATAACTTGATTTTTAATATGTGTGTGTATATTTAATTCTAACATTTGTAGTAAAAACACAAAAACATTTCTGATATCAAAATCATGATAAATTAGAACCATTACTTCAGACATGACTTTCAATATCATCACGGACAAAGTTAGTTTTGGACCTTCGTCGGTGGTCTAGTAATGCTGATTATAATTATAGGCTATATTACTTAACAAGTATTTCTGGGGTAATGATTTAATAAATATGATGATATTCAAAGCTTAATAAAAAATTGTAGAAGCTTTGAATGGATATATCATGTGAATTCGGTGCATTTAGAAACAACTTAATTGTGTTAAGCTTTCAGATACTACTATATTTTCAACAAACGTTTACTTTCAAAAGTAGGAAAATTTAGTAGTAACATTTTTTTTTATGCGTTAATTCACTTACTGTAGGAGATTTTGAAATGCAAAGTGAACTGGGGTTATTTGGCATGTTTACTTGTTTGAGGGGATTTGTTTTAAAATGAATCTAAAAACACTCACCTGTCGGGAACTTTAACTCTCAGCGCTCATTGTCAAGCATACACTGCAAAAATGCTTTGTATTTTAAGTTCAAATATCTAAAAATTCTTAAACCAAGATTATGTTCTAGACAAGTAAAAAAAAATTTCTTGGTTTTTAGAAATAAAATGTCAAATAAAATAAATGAGTTGCCAATGTGGTAAGCTTAATAAACATATTTCGAACCAAAAACTCCTTCATTTTTTCCTTACCCCATTAACAGACTATTCGCCTTGTTTAAGGAAAAACTTTTTTTTTTTTTACATTTTATTTCTAAAAACAATACAAAATTATGTATAGAAAACAATGTTTGATTTAATTCTTTTTTTATATATATATTTGGACCAGAAGCAAGACAAGAAATAAGTAAAAACAAAAGGGATTTTTTTGCAGTGTAACACGGGCACTCAGTGTGTCTGCACTGCTGGTATTTTCAAAAAATGTGGCCCTTCCCTTGACAACATGTAAAAAAAAAATTCAGCTTGGGAAAATAACACTTCAGTGAACACTAAATCAAAATCACTATTTTAAACAAATATAACACTTATAAAGACTACATAAACTTATTGCTTTATTCATGAAGATTATAATTATCTAAGAATTATTATTAATAAATATTTAAACTTCATAAAACATTTGTAGTTATATTGATCATATTTATATATTTTTATAACATGTTGATTATAGAAGTAGTCAAAATTTTAAAGAATCATACAAAATGAATGCTATTTTTCATCAATATAATATTATTTTAAAATATTAATTTAATAAAAGCAAACCCAAATTTTATCAAGATAAATATAAAACTAATTTACACAGGATGATTACAAAACAAAACATAATGGGTTTGCTAAACATTTGCCATGCAAAGTTGTTGATTGTGAAAGCTCATGTCAGACAAAACAAGGAATACGGCATCACATCTCTCTGATCTGCACACAAACAAAAGTTGAGAGAAATATCACTCTACAGACCCTGATAATACTCAAGTTTTTATGCTGATCAATGCACATAACAAATGTACACTAAGTGCAATATAAGGCTTTATACAACCCAAAGCAAGACCTTTTAGAGCCCCTTAATGTTCAGCGGTCAGTAGGAAAAACCACCTCCAAATAGTCCTTGACCCTGAGCTTGAATATACTATATTACTATTTAAAGACTCATCTCATTCCTTTGTGTGAAATATCTCTTCTGATTGTTCATTTCAACAAATCCATTAACAAACAATTCACTAACTTTTCATTCAAGTTCTTGTACTGCACTTTACATTTTCTTTAATTTAATGATTATTTGGACAGTAGAGGTGGACAAAAGAAAAAAAATATATTACCATATCTGACTGATTAAATTAAGAATTACTTGTGCATTTTGTGTTTAGTTTTCTAAAATGTTCTGTTTAAATATGCAAATTAAACAATTTAATTACATATTCACTAATTTGCATACATTTCAAGTAAACAAATCTAAACATTTGATAACATTAGATTCTAAATACTTGCCTAGTTTTATTTTAACATATCAAAATAACAGATTAAAAAGTATATAATCAGGCAAATGATTAATTGATTAATGATTAATTATATAGTTTGGTACATCTAAGTGTTCTTTAAGTGGAGATTTATGGCTCAATGTAGAAGAAAATAATTTAGAGAAAAGGGACTTTAAACTAGTTATATTACAGTGTGCTTGAAAACTTGTTTCTGATTGGCTGGTGACCATTCTAAGGTGTGCAGTTATTTTCAGATAAACACATGATTAATTTAGTTTCAGGCAGGTAAGCTTGATTGCCTTTGAGTGTCATAACTCTACGCCAAACAATTTCAGTCAATCCAAAGCCCCCATACAACAAAAACATATCGAAGACAACATAGACACTTAATACACAAATACACTCCAATACACTCCAATTTGTAATGCACATAGACATCACCTATGTACTAAATAACTGAAGGTTAACTATGTCTATTTACAGTATAACTTTAACTGTTAAAAGCGTTTAGCTACTGGTTAATTAGTTAATATTAAAAGTTATTGAAAATAATAACCTTACCTTTCTGAATTTGATTGTGATGCAATAATGTGCACCTTTTGTAGAGCTGCTTTGAAACAATGATTAGTGTGAAAAGCGCTATACAAATAAACTTGAATTAAATTGAATTGAAATTAAATAAAACAGAAGGTTCAGATGAGACGCATCGTGAACGAATCACCATTTTCTACATCAAATGGCAACAATTTAATGCCCCGACACTTTGATAAAGTGCAAAAAAAAAAAAAAAAACACTTGCATGTGTTTACAATGGTGTATTTTTATGTTTTCTTCACATGAGAAAAAAAATTATGACAACACAAGAAAATGTTTATGAAAACACTTCAAATCTCAGGACTTTTAGGGCACATGTCCATCACTTGTCTAAAAACAAGGGCTGTCAAGCACTTCAACTGTCATAGCAGTACTCATCGTCAAGTATACACCGAGTACTCATCGTCAAGCATACACTGCAAAATTACACTTGTTTCTAGTTCAAATTTCCAAAACTTCTTAAACCAAGAAGCATTTTCTAGACAAGTGAATATTATCTTGGTTTTAGAAATGTCAAATGAGAAATGTCAAATAAAATAAATAATGTTTTGCTTACTAAACAAGCTAAATAATCTGCCAATGTGGTAAGCAAAATAAACTTATTTCAAACCAAATGCTATATCTTACCCCATTAACAGACTATTCAGCTAAGGGTAAAACCCATTTCAATTTTACATTATATTTAAAAAGAACAAGACAAATTTTTGTCTATAAAATGCATTGGACTGAAAGCAAAAACTACTGTAAGTTAAAAAAAAAAATTTGCAGTGTAACACAAATACTCAGTGTGTCTACACTGCTGGTATTTAAAAAACGTGGCCCTTCCATTGACAACAACATGTAAAAAAAATCCTTAGCTTGGGAAAAAACTCTTTATAGAACCCTCACTAAATCAAGATCACCAGTTTAATAATTTGACAGTTGAAAGAGTGAACAAACTGTCTTGTCTTTAAGACTTTCCCAACACTACAAAGCAATGACACAAGCTAACATGTGTGCAGTGTCCTGTTTGTACCTTAGTGAGCGCTGCTATCCTCTGTGCGAGTTCGGCCTCTACTTCAGGCAGCGTCTCTGCTTTCCTCATGGTCTGCTGGAGCTTCTGCTCTGCCAACTCAAGCCGCTCCTGCAACTGCCTGTTCTTCTCCTCCATCTGCAGACATAAATACACAGACAGAGAGAGAGAGAGTGTATACAGCAGATATCACAGGACAATCTAGCATCCATGACACAGAGTGGATCAGTGTTGCCACATTCACTGTCCCCAAACAAACATAACTATTTTTGCCTGTTCTTGGAAGAATTAAAAATCATTAGAAGATTACATACTCAAGTTTGACAGCACCTGTATCAAATCATTGTTGTTCAATGTTGATGTTAAAATAAAAATAAAAATTAAGGAATGTTGCTATGGCAACTAGTTGATATACAGTATAGCAAGTACTCAAGTTACTAAAAAAATGAAACAAAAAATATAGCTATATAGAAACAACAATAAATGACACACATTACAAAAGCACAAACTAATTAATTAGCACTCAAACTAACCACTTGTATGCAACATACTCTTTTCCTTTTCATATGCACCAAATCATTGTGCAACTCTGAGTGTGCTTCACACAGGTGAGATAAACCTCTATGTTTTCTCGAAGGAGGAACAAATCTAAACTAACTTAGATTTACAGCATTTATATACTGCTGCTCTCAGATGATTTAAGTCAGTGGTACCCAAAATGGGGTCGGGTCGCTTGGCGATTTCCAATAATCAAATTAATTTAATTAAACTATTACAATGACCAAATTTTATCCATAACCTACAGAGGAAAAAATAGTAGTTAATAGTTACATTAAAAAACAACATGCAAATAAAAAACCATCAGCCTTTCCATTTTATTTATTTTATTTTTTTTTGCGCACCCTGGGATGATTAGGTTATATTAAAGCACATTGATTTTATGGCACCAGGTTAATCTTTCTGACATTCACACACATAAAAAATACAAAATAAAAATACAGGCCTCAACTGATCATGAAGGATGGTCTCCGAGTGACGTTCTTTCTATAAAATTAAATGATAAATAGTCTTGGGCCTATTAGTATGTGTGCGCCGTTGTGTGCAAGGTACAAAAATACTTATAACCAGGGCCAGATAGAATCTGCTGAAATTTCCACGCAGAATATTGTAAAATACCTGCAGATTTATGCTGAATAATTTTGGCTGTATTGTAACTAAAAACTGAATATGTTAAATGAAAAATTATAAATGTTTTACTTTTATTTAATGTTTACAAGACAAATATTATTAGATTAATTTATTCAGTAAACAACGCAAGTCTCTTATCTATTATATCTACCACGTATATACTAAAAGACAGAAATGATTACTTTACAAACTATATTGTAAGTACATTATATAACTTTAGATGTTAGTCAGTAATATCACTGAAATTAATTTAAAATCTGAATACATATAAATGTACACACATTTACACACAATTAAATAATTAGACTAAACAATGGGCTGAGAATCTACAGAAATCTGTTGATTTCTGCACACGCAGATTCTATGTGGGCCTATACCAACCACCTTTGAGAATATTAGGGGTCACTGGCATTGTGATTTTGAGGGTCTCTCGGGCTGAAAATTTGGGAACCCCTGATTTAATTGCTTCTCTGGATAAAAGCTTCTGCTAAACGAATAAATGTACAATAATAAAAGTAAAACTAATTCTGTTTAATTATTTATACGCAAAATAATAGTCTACAATAAAACTCATACAAGTTTGAACAATGATGATAATAAAATAACAGAATTTGTAAATATTTTGTACCATAACTTACCAAAACAGAATCCCAAAGTCACATATTATTGACTGACCTGACAACTGTGATCATTTGTCTGCAGAACATGAAAGGATGTCATCTTGACCATGACATCATCAGAAGAGAATCTCTCAATTACGAAAGAAATCAAATGTTCAAAAGCAATTATCCAGCGAATGAATATGGACATGAAGTACCTGCAATACCTCAACCCAATCTGAAATACCACTAAAGGGAAATGAAGAAGAAAATTGGAAAACAAGCATTGAAAAGTGCACCTGTCTGAGGAAAGCCTCCTTATTGGCCAGCTCGTTCTCCAGCTTGTCTGTGATGTCGTGCAGTGATGTGGACTCTCTCTGGGCACTCAGATAACGCTTCTCCAGAGTCACAATACGCTCCTCCATGTCTTCTTTCTGACACATGGCCTGTACAAACACATACACACACATATTGTTGGTCGGTTAGTGGTGCTCAGACCTACACCTAGGATGGAGGCTGCGAGTGAATTAGTTTGCTGTCAATCAAAAATTCTGGCCTATAATTACACACAGGCTTGAGGACAAATATCACAGGCACACACACACACATATATTTGAGCATGAAAACACACACCCACACATACACATTCTGCTCCAGGCTGCCACAACATCTCTCCACTAGTCAATGCATCTCTAAATCAACAGACATTTCCTAGAATGTGTCCAGCTGTCATTAAAAGGATACTTCACAAAAATATGAAAATGTATGCATCTTTAATCATCAAAAAGGGTTCTGTATGGCTTTCCTTCAGCTGTCAAGAAGATGTTTTGGGATATTGCTTTAAAGATGTGCAAATAAAGCAGCGTTTCCATTCAATGAGTCAAAGAAAACAAAATCACCACTTCCTGATTAACTAGCGGCAAATATCAAAAGTAAAAATGGAATTTGCTGTGGTTTGAATCTTTTCTTTATTTAATAAATGACTTAGTGGGGTTTAAAAGCAAGAGACGCGGAGCACAGGCACTCTTGACAGTTCTGTTAATAATATAATAACACCATTACTGAAACAGTTAAGGCATTTTAGAATGACCAAAACAACATTTCAGATGCTTTACAATGCGGTCAGCCAGCTGGTTTGTCCATTCACACATATTTTCATCATCACATGATCGCTAATAACAAAATCACACTTTTTTAATGCGCATACTGAAATTTGTTCAGTAAAAGTGTTTCCATCGTAGTTTATGCGCATCTTTACTTATAGAAATAAATTTTATCCTACTAAGTTATGCACATACATTTTTAATGCACATTTTCAAAATTGATGCAAGCAAAATGTGCATAAAATAAAAAGATTGCTTTCCAAATAATCTTTTTTTGTGTTCAATACAAGTAAGAAACTCAGGTAGAGGATGAGTAAATGTTGGCAGATTCTGTTCAGTTTAGGGTGAACTATTACTTAAAGGCTTTGTTCTGCTCAGTTCATTTGATTTGGACCAAAAAGGAAAACGATACATTAAGCCTGGGCTTACTTGGTGTTCAAGATTGAGAAGGGTCTCTATAGATCAGATGGCTGCACTCAAATTTGAATCACAAATTAATTGAACTAGCAGAGTTAGTAAACCAAACCAAACTTGTCAAGTGTGAACACACTATAATTATCATAAATGAAATGTTTCTGAAAGACACATAGACAGTCAGAGCAGCAATGGACTGAATTTAGTATGAAGGCCCTTTTTAAGAAACTGAATTCAGATCAAGTTTGTGTATTGAGATTTTACATACGCCTGATTTGAGACTTCACAAACACACCTCTTTAATGTCCCTCTGGAACTTGTTGTTCATGTCTTCGCTCTTGATGAGGTCTTTGCGTGCCGTCTCCAGCTCCTGCTCCACCTCAGAGACGCGAGAGGACAGTGAGGACATGCGTTCCTTCATCTGCGCCAGCTCATAATTCTGCTTCTCCAGCAGCTCCTGCAGCTCCACCACCTGACTGGCCTCATCCCCTGACTCCATCGAACCGTTCGACAAACGCTGCAACACCAAAACATACATAATACACACAGTCAACACTGTGAGAGAACATTTCTGAACTGAAGAATTAACCAGGTTTCATTTAGTTACCTAAGCCTATAAAAACATATGTTATTTGATATAAAATGTAAATGAAAAATGACAATATTATGTTTAATTGACTATCCTTTAGCCCAGTTTAACTTAACACTATTATTTTTGCATTATTATCAGGTTTTCATCATAAACTAATAATAAAACTATCAAAAAGTCTATTATTGAAATAAAATAAAAAAAACATTCAATTTAAAAGTATCTATTTATCATTCGTTTAACTTTTGTACTTTAAAACAAACACAAACATTACAATGATGAAACTATTACATAAACTACATACTGTATAAGTGTTAAATATGTTTTTAAAACAAAATAATACACTTGGCAATAGATTACTACATTTCAGAAGTAAAATGACAACAGAAAACCTACAATTTATAACTTATTCAAACTATTTATAGAAACTACAGTGCCCAAAATATATCTTAATCATATTAAAATGTCATTCAAATCAACTATTCATGAATCCAGTATAACTTATAATTATTTTGACTTTAATAATAGGTTTGTTCTCCATAACTAATACTAAAAGTATTTAAAAAATTGCTTTTAGTAACATAAACCGACAAAAAGATCATCATAATATTTTCTACAGTCATGTAAATAATATTGTTAATACTAAATTGGGTCCCACTTTATATTAGGTGGCCTTAGCTAATATGTACTTATACAGGAATTAACAGTTTGTTACAATGTACGTATTGTGTAAACACATATATTTACTGTGTACTTATGCTTGATTAAATATAAGTATGTAACTACATTTGTAATTAACTTTTGTAACTACATTTGTAAATACACTGTTAACCATCCCTTACACCTTAACCCACCCTTAAACCTACCCATAACACCAAACCTGTCCATAACCCAACCTCTATCCCAACTCAAAAGCACCACAAGTGTTCTCAAATACATTATAAACACAGTAAGTACATTGTATTTATTTTTTATGTAAGTACATAGTAGTTAGGGACACTTAATATAAAGTGGGACCCTAAATTGTATAAATAAATTTATACTAACACAATGATGTAAAATACAACCCACTAAAAACATATGAAATATTCATTATGAAGTAACTTTATTCTTGTTTGTTATGGTTACAGTATTTATATTTATGATTAGTTGCATTATTAAAATGAATATCTACCAGTATCCATGGTTTAGTAGTATTAATTCATTCTTTCATTGACTGAATGTTCTGTATTTGCTTTGCTGAAAGTATAGTAGGGCTGTGCGGTTAATAAAAGTTGTATCGAAATCACAATTTGACCATGCGCCCCTCAGCATGATTCCTCTGCAGTGTGCTGTTTGAACCAATCATAATGCAGTATGCCTAAACAGAGCGCGAGCACAGGAGACTGAGCTTAATTACAAATAGCTTGACTTTGGATACAGGAAGGCTGATGTATCGCAGAACCAGATAATTTGTATGACCTGTCAGTCCCATATTGCAACTTAAAGCATGCGCAAAGCGCAAGGAGCGTTGTTTCCATCAGCATTTAATGCATTTTGCACAAGCACTTCTTTGTCGTTGCTCGGTGACGATCAAATGTTTTCTCAGAGGATGACAAACTAACAAAACATTGCTGCAGCGCTGATACAAGGTTTACTTATGGAGCAAATGAAAAAGCACAGGGTGTTTGTGTGTTCTGTGTTTGTCTGAGGCAATTCGTCTACCGAAATGTGTATATTCCATACAAAGAAAACATGAAGCTGATTGGTCAGTTATTGTTACATGACTTGTGGTTACATGACTACATGGCTTGTAGTGAAAGGTTAGATGTTTTTAACTGTGTGAGCCTGGAACACGTGTGCGTCACTCCCAATATGAATGCAAGCCACACGCCTCCATTTAACGGATTTGCGCGTGCAAAAGATGGGATATGTGATTGACCTATTTTACGGCAGCATCACAAAGAGCTCTATGATCTATGCATAGCAAAAAACAAAAAATATATGGATGCATACAAATGTATATGCAACTACTTCTGATATGTGGTCAAGCAGAACATTGGAAGATACACTCACACAGACACACACATAGACACACACACACACACACACACACACACACACACACACACACACACACACACACACCCACACACACACACACACACACACACACACACACACACACACACACACACACACACACACACACACACACACACACACACACACACACACACACACACACACACACACACACACACACTAAACTATTTATTTGTTTTGCCATAGTTCTGTTCTTCTGTTCTAGAGACAATTTGTTACAGCTTTACTAGGTGATTTTTATTTTATTTGCCTGTTTTAGAGACATGTTACAGGTCTTTGATAAAGATCAAACTGTTTTCCCTCAGAAATATGTTGCAAATTCACACTGTAAAACGTCTGTGTGTGTCAAAATTTAAATCACAATATTGTTTAAGAAAATCGTGATAGGTTTCTTTTGCAGCCCTAATTTCCTGTATGACCCTCTGAGTCTGTTCAGTCTAATTGTATTATCTGTGTGAAGTAGAAGATCAGCAGACCGCTCCTCCGCCATGCCTAAAATAAAGACCCCTGTCACATTTTCACACTAAAACTTGACACGTCTTATGCCGCACTAAAATTAGACTTTATAACCTGTTTAATTTATGGTGCAGGCAGCAAGACAGAAAGGTGATAAAATCATTTGCAGAGCACACAGAATTTACTCCGTCTAAGCTGTGAAGCCACGAGAGATCAACACGAACAGCTTCTGTTATCATAAATAGACCAGATTGACAAGACAAAGAATAGCTGTGGTTTATTCTGGCCTGATAATGACTCATTCACACTTTTTCACTCCCTCTCACTTTCTTCAATCTTTTTTTACTTGAATTTATCAGCGAGTGTTTGTTTAAAGGGCACCTATCATGCACAATTGACTTTCGTAAGGTGTTAGGAACACAGTTTGAACACAGATGTGGGTCTACAGTGTTTGTAAACAAGCAGCCTATAATGGTAAACATCTAACCACCCCTTTTTCAATATTCCCCATAAACCATAGTGTTTCTCCAAATGGTTTTCCCTCTATGTATACGTGTATGAAATCTGTCTACAGTCATTTATTTGTGCCGTATGATACAGTATGGTTCTGCACAGCTGAGCTCGCTTCAGTTCAGATTTGCTCACCTCACGTCATATTTCCAATGCAGTTTAATACTGCTTGAAGTGGGTGGGATTGTTGCTATAGTTGAGCCGCCTCTACCGCCGTCATTAGCTGATGTTTTCATTCAAAGATGTGAATTAAATGTAAGCCCATAAGTAAAGAATCACATACAGTATAAGACCTGCAAATAAAGCAGCATTTCCTTTCAAGTAGTCAAAGAAAACAAAAATGTCACTTACTAAATAACTGGCGTCAAATATCAAAAGTAAAAACGAAATTTGCTGCTGTAGAAGAAGCTGTGTGAATCTTTTCCTAATTTACTAAATGATTGGTGCCTTAGAAGACAGTATGCAGACACGCAATGAACACGTGCTGGTGTTTGAAGGCATCAGACGTGGAGCACAGACGATCTTGACAATTCTGGAGGTCATTACTAATATAATAACACTAATACTGAAACGCCATTTTAGAATGACCAAAACAACATTTCAGATGTTTTAAAATGTGCATGTTTAACACAGATGTTTAAAACATTCACACACATTTTTACCATCACCATTGCTTATAACAAAATCACATGACTTTTTAATGCGCATACAGGAATTTGTTAGATAAAAGTGTTTCCATTGTAGTTTATGCGCATCTTTACTTATCGAATAAAAATTATGCGCATTTGTTTTTTTATGCCTATTTTCTAAATTTTACCAAACTGCACCGTACCATCCAGTGGAAAAGTACTTTAGTACAGCGACTAGGGTCCATTACGAGGGTCCATTACCAGCGCTTAGTGTTTTCCTTTAAATATACTGAACAAGTCCAGCACTGAATGTGATTGGACATTCTGCTAATAAGGATACAAATACAATTGTCTCAGAATGTATTCACAGAGACCAGAAATGTCATTACTTTATTTAAAAACACTCTCATTATAATGCATATTTATTTGTACACACTGTATAGTCAGGTGAACAAGTAAAGCTTTAATTTCTTCCTGACATTTTGTACTAACAAGTTTCCACTTGTTTTGTTGTTTCTGGACAGTCAGAATTTGCATTCATTTGCATTTAATTTGCATTCAAAGGGACACACACAAAAACTGTGTTTTTGCTCATCCTCAAGTTTGACATGCTATAATAAATAAATGATGTGTGGGGTATTAAGAACTCAAACATCACTAGTCCATTCTCAGGACAGCAGAGATTTATTTGGTATCTTATGAAAAGGGGTAAATATGTCCCCTTTAATGTACAGGCCCAGCCATTGACCTTTAGCTGGTTGACTGGACTCATGCATCAGTGTCAGAGGTCTTGGATATTGTCAGTTCTGCTACTAAATCTATCGAGCATCATGGCTGAGATTAATTTGTCCAATTGAGATATACTGTCAAAGTGCCAACCTTTATCTTTTACGAGGCCACACATTTCTGCCATCACTGTCACCATGTCAACACAATCTAATGCAGCAAATGGTGCAGATCGCTAACGGAGAGAGGAGGACGAGGCTTCTCTCATCCTTTCATCCCGTTATCTTTTCATCAGGAGCGTGGGGAAAGATCCTGCTATGACTGGTTTAACGCTACATTAAATGTGATCCAGAAATACAGTCTGACAGGATGAGTGTGTGTTGACTGTAGAGAGAAGGCTTTTACTGGATACATCTGTTCGAAAAAAGATTTTCAGAAGTTTCTGTTGCCTAGACTAAAAATGTCTGTAAATCACCTTAAGGCGCAAAGTGTGTAAAGTTTGTAGTTGAGAATACTTTTTTTAATGCATTTTTTTTATATTTAAGGTCAGTAATTAGGAGATAAACTGACCAAAATGAACTATATATATATATATATATATATATACTAAAATTATATTTCAGTAAAATATACTGAACTTTTGATAAAGATAGATTAAACAGCTTGTCAGTTTTCTAGGGAAGTTGTGTGAGCTATATGAAATAAACAAATAAATAGTATATTGTTCAAAAATTAATGCAAAAACCTCTAAATGCCATCTGAAATGTTCTCCTAAATCTCAGCCTCCAGTGTTTATGTTAAGCTATTTCCCTTGAAAGGCAATGAAAGTAACTTAACCGTCACTTTAAATATAAAATTACTGAGCCAACGAACAAGAGTTGGAGAAAAATGCTAATTTTAGATGAAAATATCAAATGGCTTTTAGAGGTTTTTGCATCTAAACTCTTCATATATATTTTCTGGCTTTATTACTTTGAATTACCTAAATTATCTAAAGAATTATGAAAAACAAACAAAACAAGAACAAAAAAAGAAGTAAGAATTAAAGATATAAACCTGGAACTGACCTCTGACATTTTCCGCTAAAACTATAGTTATTATTTGCACATCAAAGTTTTTATCTTTTAATTCTGACTTCATTTATAACAATTGTTAGATAAAAATCCACATATAAAGCAATTGTAAGTTTATATTGAAATTGTTAGATGCAAAGTTGTGCTGTAAACTTGTCAACATTGATAACAATAATAAATGTGTATTGAGCACCAGATCAGCATGATAAAATGATGCATGAAAGATCATGTGACACTGATAAATGCTGTAAAAATACCAAAAATAACATTTCTTTAAACAAGCAAAATCTCTCTCAATAGTTGGAAAGGTAATCTTGTTACTCTTGAATTTAGAATCTCTTTATATCCCACAAAAAAATAATGACATTTTAAATCCGAGTATGAAAATTATTTTACGAGGAACACAAAATATTGCAAATAGAAAACAGTTATTACTTATTATACTGCTTTTTTGATCAGATAAATGCTGTCTTGGTGAGGAGAAATTACTATTTTATAAACAGCAGTGAACTTTCAGCATAGAAAAAAAAAATCAAAATCTGCTTATTGGGAGAAAATGAACTGCTCTGAGGGAGTTTAAATCCTGGCAGCAGTCAATACTAACCTTGCTATGAAGTTTCTGGGCATCAGTCCCCTCCAACAGGTCCTCTGCCCCATCTCCTGACGCCACCTTCCTCTGAATGTGGGCATTCTGCTCCCTTAATGCCACAATCTGCAATCAAGCACAATAAACAGAGAGAGTTACTGACAGAGTACACAGGAAAGCAAGCATATCTGTCTGCTAGGGCACTTCATTTCCAAATAATATGCAGTGCCAGATGGTAAACACAAAATAAGAAGATAATAATATAATCTTGAAATGGACTAAACACTAGTGCAATAAATCACAAAATAGTTACATTCAAATAGGACATCCAATATTCCAGTACAACTTTACTGCTATGTGCTTTTTGTCTGAATGTCCTAGAGACTACACAGATAGTGTGACATTCAGATAATGTAACATCCCTATCCTTATTCGCTAAAGTGAGTGTTAAGCTCCATTTAAAGCCACAAACATTTTATTGCCCATTTTGTGTGCATTTTTCATTTCCATGTGATGTTTTTATACAATATTAAAACTGCAAGCATACAGGAAAATAACATCACAAATCAAAAAACAAACAGCTTAGAAGTGTTCAAATATACAGTATAGCATATCAACAGCGACTGTGATCGAAAACATACAGTAGCAAGGACAACGGCTGCTCTACCATTTGTTATGACGGATATGAGGAGAGCCAGGAATCATTGCACTGCAAGAGATGATTTAACAACCAAACAACCTTAGCTATTTGATAACAGTTAAAGGGCCAATGTAGTGGAGTGTAGAGTGTAACACTGACTGGGGTTTAGAGTATAACATTTTCTTTTCTCAGCTAAATTCACACTTGTGAAATACAAATAAGTGGTTTTGTTTATCATTTTTGTGTGTATAATTCATTTTCATTATTTATCTCAAAATAATGGAAGTTTGTTTGTTTGTTTATTTATTGCCACAACAACAACTTGTGGCTATTTTATGGTAAGATCAATAGAGATAAAAACAGATTACATAATAAAAATGACAGCATCATCCATCAATAAGAGATGATACCAAATAAAAATAAAAAAAACATTCAAAACCACAATTTTTTACTTCAATATACACTGTGAAATGTAATTAGCTGACTTTACTTTTACATTTTACAGTGTATTCACTCATTAATTTTCTTTCAACTTAGTCCCTTATTTATCAGGGGTCACCAGAGCGGAATGAACCACCAACTATTTCAGCATATGCTTGTTTATTAATGGGTACTCATTCACACACACACTCATACATGAATACTTGTGCAGCTTTTCCAGCCACATTTTCCCTTCCTCTTAACACTCTATTAGTATACTTAGATACTGCACTCTGTGAGCATGCAGCTTCTTTTGCGAATCCCTAATCATTAAAATTGAAACAAATGAAGGTTTGAAATATTTCCCTTTGTGTGTAGTAAACTAATATGTCACAAAAGTTTCACTTTTTGAAACAAAATATTGAAATTAATGGACTTTCCCTCGATATTTTTTTTTTTTTAGCACATACCTGTTGAATATAGTTTCATATATGGTAAATAACATATGCTTTGTTTCGCTTATATTTGGAGTTGGTGTAAATATTAAACCTAACCTGTTACATCTAACTCTGTGAAGGTCCACAGCCCTAAAGTGCTGTTACTCAACATCTTTAATTATTACAGAAAGAGAATGGAAAGTGATGATGAAAAAGTAGATTCTGACATTTTATTATATCATCCCTCCAAAGGCATGTCATCAGCATATTTCTTTAGGGATTTCACATGACACTTCACACACGTCTTAAATGTGAGAGACGGAGTTAATACACTAAGGATTGATCTCACGGGATTACAGCTGTCAGATATAGACAACTTGTGGTAAATGTATGCACTTTTAAAATAAGGGAGATGAAGGTCAGAAGGTTCTAAGAACAGAATAACTATGTTGAAGTTTGAAACGTGACTTGAAGTTTACATGAGAAATGATGGTGAAACACTGCCCAATATCGGGGGCAAATTAGTGCTTGTTCATATGAGTGACAATGATATTATAATAGTGTGTAATGTCAAAGACTGAAATCTGAGAGAAATATGAATGCATCACCGATGCTGGAGCAACCTGGAGCCGGTTGCACCAGCAAGTTAAATCATAGAATAGTTGTGACATAAGAGACAATAAGGCCCAATCCCAATTCTATCCCTTAGCCCTTCCCTTTACCTGGTGTCCCAATTCTCTTTAGCTTGAAGGCGTAGGGCTAAGGGAAAAGATAGCCCTTCGAACTAATATTTTTCAGGACCACACTCGAAACCAAGGGTTAAGAAAATTTCCCAGAATACACCTGCCACAACTGCAGGATAGCTGCACTCGAAAGTAAGGAGATTCACAAATTAGTTTTTTTTTTGTCATTATTACGAATTTTTAAAACAAACAAGCCCATGTTTTTGTATATTCATAACCGCATTCATGTTTTACCTTCATACTTTAAAAAAAACCCCACTAAAATAAAAAAACGCTAAATTTCGCGGTCTATAATCCATAATAATAACTCCTTTAAAGCAGCCCCACAACATTCTGTAACTCGATGACAATCGAATCCCCTGTCAGAAAAGTCTATTGGCTGGAAATGGGCTTTTTACAGTGTATAGTCTAATGTTATTGTTGTTTTTGTGTGTTTACATAGATAAATATGGCCACTGTATAAATGCACATTATAGTTACGATCTCATTGCCACATTAGATCATTATTATAACATAATATATGCCTTCAGTGATTTCCTGAAGATAAATACCAAAAAATAACACAACTGGAATAACTACAGAAGTATCGTACAGCGATCGTTTGATCTTATATAAAGCAAGAGATCACAATGACATCTGATGAGATGTGCAGGTGCTGTAGTGCTGTCCAATTTCTTAGGTTAAATTTTGAAGCCCTTTCCCTTCACATTCAGTTTTAAGGGCCTAGGGGAAGGGGTAGAGGTACAAAAATAGAATTGGGATTGGACTTTGAGTAGCAACTTATGCACAACTTTTTTTTATTTTTGCAGCATTGCACTTTAACGTAACTACTTTCCACCTAAATATTTATAGACACCTCTGGCTCTGGAAAAGAGATAAGATTAGATTGATGAGCTTGTGATGGATAATAAAGAAGTTCTCTCCTCCTTCATCTCCCTCTGCTCACAGCCTTTTGCATTTATTTTGTTTTTGATGTCCAAATCTTGCTTTTTTTTTCTGATTTGTGAAACAAGTTGTTTTTATCTATCAATTTTAGCAATTTATTCAAATGAAGATGTCTTTATGACCTATTATTTTTAATTTTCTGTTTTATTATTAAAATAATTTCATATTTAATGTTTTCATTTCTATAACTGCATTCACATGCATTCCAGTCTATTTTCCTGTTTAGCAATGTGAAAGCTTCTGGTTACTGCATTTATTCAAGTAATTTTAAAGAGTGCTGGTTGACGGTACCCATTGATATCCATTATTTTTCCTACTATACATGACAATGGGTACCACTGACCAGCATTTTTTCAAAATATCTTTTGTGTTGAACAGAAGAAAACACTCACAAAGGTTTAAAATTACATGAGGCAGAGTAAACAATAAGGTAATTAAATAATTTTTCCATTTTTTTAAATTATAAACTTTTTGAGTGAACTAGCCCTTTAAGAACATGCATTGCAGCCAAAGTACAAATTTAGTTATAAACTAACTGGTAGTGATTAAGCCTCTAGGGTGGACTTTATGCTCTAGTTTAAACAAAAAGGTATTGTATAAACACCTAGAGCAATTCTATCTGGGAATGTAAAATCTAAAAGACTCTTTCTATGGAAAGGTTGCACAAGGTGGGACTTTGTTGTTGCACTGTCATATAGTGCATGATATCTGCTACATTCATTCTCCCATGGCAGGGCACCACACCAAAATGTATTCCCACCATGGCTAATTTTTTTTTTATAGCTGGTTATAATCGCAGTAAATCGTATTAAAATCTAAGTGAAGTACAATAGAGCAAACCTTTCTGTAATCCTAGTAGCACTGTGCATTATTTGTTTAACCCTTAAAGGTTACATGCTGACTGACTAATTGACTGACTGACAGGGCTGCGTAATGCGTAAAGCTAGCAAACACAGCGTAGCTTTTAGTTATGACGAACACAGTTTCCACAAATACACTTTATTTAGAGATAAAGGTCTATGATTCTTTATATGGTTCTTTAAGGAGTTTATGGCCATTTCACTTTACTTCAGGATGCATCAATGCCATTCTATGTATATTGAAGACATTCATAAATATTCCAAGCAAATCTAATAAATGTTGGGAGACATACTCTTTACATAAACTCATTAAATCACACTTCAGCAGCATTTATTTGAGAACTAACTAGAAAATCTGTACTTGAGCAGCGTATATTTGAGGGCGTGCAAGAAGTTTGGAAAATCGGCATGAGCAAAGAGATTCGCAAGCGCATATTACATGAATGCAATCTCGACTTGTAAAGCCGCAGTCACACTAGAGTTTGAGCTTGCAAAATTCTGTCATTTGGCACTGCAAAAAGGGGTGGTATTAAAAAACATGATTAGACATAAAAAAATGAGCAAATGGTGCATGTTTTAAATTTCTGTCCAGAGAGGACATGTTTTGATCCTCCATTGCGTTTCCGGTCTGATGCATTCGCATGTGTATGAACAGTCTAGCTTAATACTGCGCTCAAGACATTTGTCACTGAAATTACACCATACATGTAGGTAGTAAGAACATCTGTTTAAAGGGCCTGTCAAACACAGCTGGAAAAAATCCAAGAGGAAACACCGTAGTGTTCACACTTAAAAGAAAAACAGTGATGTATTTTAAATTATGCAAAAACAAAACATGATTTAATTTATGTCAAGAATAAACCGGACCTTTATCAACGCATGAACAACAGTTGGTGGGAAGAGATGGGTTACAACTACAAAAGTTTACAATGTGAACATTTTTCTTGTTTCACTTCCAAAATGATTCATTAGTGATTGTAGTCTCTTGCAAAGTTTTATTTATTATGTTTGTACAGTGTTATTAATAAGGAAACCAAGGCTAGACCTAAAGTCAGATGGCATGAAAAAGTATAAGATCATA